CTGAACTCTGTTCTTCTGTTTATTCATTCTTCCATGTGATCTTAGGAAAATTTTCATCCACTTCCCTCAACCCCCCTACTTGTAAGGGTTATATTATAAGCAGTTAACAAAACGCTTCCCCTTTGAGAATTCGACATTTCATTAAATTTCTGTTTCTTTGGCACCCTGACAATGATAGTATGTCAAGGCTGTCCCATTTGCTTATGGTAAAATGCATCTGGACTGGAATGGAAGTTGTATCTGATGCGAACACCATGCTTTGAAGCTTCCGAGTGCAGTGACATAACCAGGGATGTCTTCCAGGAACTTTGGAAGCTATACCCAATATAAGTATTGGGTATTTATGCATCAGCATCCAACAGAGTTTGGGTGCTGATGCACAAACTCTTAAAGCCAGGTGGCTCCTGCACTTGCGCAATGTGGATTTAATCACCTTGTGCCTACTTGGCGCTGCTGTGTGGACGGCTCCAAGGACTCCAGTGGAATGCCTGGAGCTGCCCTACTGCATGTTGCTTCCTGTCCTGTATTTTTCCGAGTATGATGCCAAATGTGGATTAATATAATTTTCTAAGTCTGAATGTATACTGGAATTTAAGACACCTTGACAGATGTAGCAGAGCATTCTAATTAGACCTCCATTACATGTATATATATAAATTTGGGGTAAGGATTGGAATGTTTCTAGTACTAGGTCTTCCCATTCAGTAATGTATATATTCAGGATCCATATATACCAGACAAATGTTTTTGAACCTTGCACTTATTAAATCCATGGTATTTTAAAAAGTGTAAACCCTAAATAACCCTGAGAAACCAGAGCATACAAACCATAATTTAAAAATTTAGGGGTGGCCAGTTAGCTCAGTTGGTTAGAGCTCAGTGCTCATAACACCAAGGTTGCCGGTTCGATCCCCATATGGGCCATTGAGTTGCGCCCTCAACTAGATTGAAACAACTATTAATATTTGACTTGAAGCTGATGGGTCCTGGAAAAACACAGTTCCCCAATAAAATAAAATAAAAAAATTAAATTGTATTAAAAGTTCAATTACAAATATGTGTATGCCTTTACAAATGTTGGTGAAAATAATGTGCAGTACTTGAAAATAAAATTCACGTCCCTTGATTTAAGAACATTTTCCATTTGACTTCTCTGCACTTGATTTTACAAATATCAAATATAACACTTCACTTATCTGACATCAAGGATCTGTTCCCTGTGAATGAACTTACAAGGTGACTTAAGCACCAATATTTTTTGTAATTATGTTAAATTGCCATTTCTCTTCTTCCTTTACTAAAGATTTAAAAGTGATTCTTAATCTTTTTTTTAGGGTTTAGGTTTCAATCATAAACATATTCATCATGATTGAATACATTTTCAGGCTAGACTCCTGTCATATTCCTTTTACACTTTAGCTCTTTTAGGAACTTTCTGACTGGGAATTTTGCAACTTAATGGGCCCTACCAATCATTTCCCAATGTTACTATCCTTATTCATTCAAATATTGGACACTTACCCCCATAGCAGGCTCTATTCTAGGCACCAATAATGCCAGTCATAAAGCAATTATCTCATTAGTTACCTAATCATTTTGCAACTTGCAAATCGTCGGATACGCCAGCAAGAAATATTGGGTTGTTGGAAGTCATGATGTATTTATTTTTCATTGCAAAAAATGTGTCATGACTCGACAACCCAATAGTACCAAGGTAGACATGTGTGGATCTTTATTTTAGGGAGCTTTCTTTTTTTGCTCTATGTCCTTTTTCTTGTCAACTATACATAAAACTTACGATTTGAGTACAGATTTGTGGCATTAAGTCCATTCATTGTGTGGAACCATCACTACCATCCAACTTTTTCATTTTCTCCAACTGAAACCATACAAATTAAACAGTAACTCCCCATTCTCCTCTCTATATGTATTTTTATTTTTCATAATTTAAGTGATCAGAGCCACACTCCTAAAACTGTGAAGCCTCAATTACCCCTGTGTCCATGCTCACCTCTGAGGGGAAAGGATAGTCTATTTTAGGCCCTCTCTCAGTCTCCCTTTTTCAATTTTATTCCTAACTCATTGTTAAAGTATATTGCCAGTTGCATTCCCTGTATGGAGTATCCTCTCAAATTTACACACAAAAAAAGCCATATTTGTGTAAATCTGAAAATTATGCCATGAAAATCTATTTCTGGATTAAATTACCATCAGAGATACATAGCTAGATTCACATCACAGTATCCTGTGAGGACTCATGACTGGTTTGAGCGTTAAGCAATTGTTTTTTTCTTAACCTATGCACACACCATGCTGGGCTTCCCGATTGGATAGCCTTTTGGGGGTCAATTACAAATAAGTATAGGGCAGAATTAGTCACTGACTGAAGTAAACAGGATGTGTTTGTATGCATTTTTTTGTTCTAACATCATGTAGTCTTTTTTCCCATAGTTCCATTAGTTTTTTATCTCGCCAGTTTTTGGAAACTTACCTTAATTTCATTTTGAAATGCCTTTGTGGTGTAAATAATTCAGAGTATAGCTTATTTTCCTTTAGTAAAACCTTAACACCTTTTGCTTCAAGAAAAGACCTCTCTTTCATATGCTGTTGGTGGGAACTTAAATTGACAAAACTTGTTATTCCATTTGTAGTTGCTGTCTTGGAAGATAACTTAGACCTTTTGTTTTCTATATTCATTACTCCCCATTGATGTTATATCTCATCTTACCTTCTAATGTATACTTCATATAATTAAAAAATGCACTGATTTTGACCATTCAATCCACTGAATTTAAAATTAGGTGGGAAAAAAGCAATTCATACGCCAGAAGCATTAAGTTTGGCATCAGGGATGAACATATTTTGAACAAACAAATCTTTATTTTACATTACAAATAGACTTTTAATCGCCATAATGAAGAGGGTGCCAAAAAAATGTATACACATTTTAAGAAAGGAAAAAACCATTAAAATTGGAATACTTTATACCAATAACAAGATGAATACAAGTCGCATTTGACTTCTGCAATTACAAGAGGTGCTCAAAGTGGTTACCATCAGCATCCAGACACGTCTGCTGATTAGTGTACTGCTTGAGCAACGCTGACCAGTGTCCACTTGTATTCATTTTTTTTGGCACCCCTGGTATTTGGGGTTCACAATTCTCAAGGTGGTATGAAATTCAAATATTCTAAGCAACATCCTAAAAAAACAAGCAGCCAGGAAACACAATGAATTTTTGAATCCAGGGCATTGTCTATGACAGGAGCTTTTATCCTCAGGGCTACGTGTAATGTCCATGAATTTGTATGTAAAATTGTTCTATTGTTTTTCTGCAAGTTCCTTTCTCCTACTACTACTTCACAGGGTAACTAACCAGGATTAGAAAGCTGGTGCATATTCTTATAGACCTTATTCTACACACAATTTAAAAACCAAGTATTTGTACACAAATTGTTTTATATGTGCACATTTCCCAGGAAGACAAATTGCAGTTTTTTCCAGATTTTTAAGGGCTCCATGACTCAAAAAAGATAAGAACCACTGTGTGAAAGAGAACCAAAAGAAAGTTTTTCTTACCTTAGATGAGCTGAAGAAATTCTTAGATTTTTACTTTAGTACTGTAGGTAACAGAAAAGGCCCAGAAATATCCACTTTTATTTCTATGATGTACATCCATGCAATGTAACACATCTATCTAGTCTTTAAGCCTAGTGATGTCTGTATATACATAACATTACACCCATGTACCCATTTCTGACAGTTCCCCTTTCTATAAAAGAACTTGCTTCTTGATTGTTAAAACCACACCTCCCAACCCCTTCCTATCCCCAGCAGGGCCCAGCCCTTTATCATCTGTGCTCTTCTCCAATATTCCAGGTATGTATTTCTACTGCCATTAGGTCATTACATTTGCTGTTTCTTATACCTAACATGCTCTCTTGCCAGATATTTATAAGGCTTCCTTCCCTTCCGATTTTACTCAAATTTCACTTTCTCTGGGAAGCCTTCAAAGACTGCCCTATTTAATCTTGTGTCCCTTACTCCTTTATTCTTTCCCTGCTTTTTTTCCATTAACACATATGTAATACATCTACATGTTTAACTGTTTACTGTCTCTTCATGTGGCTATTAATTTGCTTCCACATTGTGGCTAATGTTTTCTCACTTTTTGTTGATATAATGCTTAAATCTTTAAAGTATTCCTATACAAGTAGTCAACAGATTAATGTTCTCTTTAAGGCAGTGAATCTGTCTTTTAATAACCTGGCATAAAAACCCAAAAACCCTCTAGGGACCAACAAGAGATTGCTTTGTTCTTTGGATATCCTTTATTGACAAAACATTTTTTTTAAAAGACATTTTGAAAAGTAGCTTTTTAATAAAGATGTCTGAGGCACTTCAATACCACAGATCCCATCAACCTATTATACAGATCACAATAATCTAATTTTATTCCCACTGCTTTAGGGAGAAAACAAAAGAGCTCATGGTCTTATACCTTTTTATAAAGGTCACCCGAAACATCCTCTACCCCACCCCTTTGCTAAAAACCTCTCCCCTTGTTACACTACAGTGGTTTAAGTGTGTTACCTACTAAAACGCGGGCTTCTTGAAGACATCGACCATATTATTTATTTATCTCTCCTTCAGAATGGTGCTTGATACTGAATACTCTCAATATGTACAACTTGGTCAACAAAAAAAGGGGAGAGTAAAACAAAGGTTTTTAAAGACTGAATAAGAAACAAGGATTATACATTTAGGTTTAAGCAAAAATGTTAGGAAAAAGGGAAGGACTGGTTCCCAAATGAATCCAGTTATCTTTTCCCATTGTAACACAATAAAGAGACAGTCTATTTTCAAAGAAATTAACTTTTATTTGAAAGGAGACTACTTTTCCCCACACATATCCTCTAAGGACTCTATACTATACAACAGCCTGCTTAACCATTGTCCTAACACCAAAATTTCTAACAGCAAAGTATACAATTGCTCTAAGTAATAAATAATAAAGGTTGTCCTTCACTGGTTAAGGGAGTACTTAAAACTTCAATATATTCAATACAAAAACCACACTTTTAAGTTTAAGTTTTAACAGATGTATTTTAAATACAATATGTCTTATAGGTGTCCACAAACTTTCCATTTTTAAAAGAATGACATAATTTTTAAGGTTCAAAAATTCAATTTTTCAAAAGAAATGACCAACTTTTCGTTTATAGCTTCAAAGTTTCTACACTCAACTATTTGACTGTTTCATGCCACCCCTGACAAACTTGACATGACTGAACTACTTTATGTGTTACTATCTTCCCCAAAAGAAAGTTAAAAAAGCAGTTCACTGTAAATGCAGATTTCTAATACAGTGTCCAATACAGTATCTAACACAAAAGAAGCTTTAAAAAGACCATTTCTTTCCTCATCTGATTAGCCAGGAGTTTATTTTCAATAAAAGAAAAAAAAAAACCCTAAAAAAATAAAAAACAAACCCCAAACAACACACCATTTACAAAGCATAACACTGGGAGTTCCTTTTTTACTCAAGATGTTTAACCACTCCAAATGACAATTACATCTTTAAGAGTATAATAAAAGGGGCAGAAAACAGCACTCCGATGGACAAAGTGTAGATGCTAAATAAACCAAAGATTTTTTTAAGGGTTCTTTTCAAGATGTAGGAAAGATCAGAAGCTCAGGGAAATCCAGAATTAAACAACAAAAAAGAGAGAAAAGAAAAAGATGTCCTCAACTGCAACCATTCTGTTTATCAATAGCGTCCTGAAAGAGAGAGAGAGAAAAAAAAAAAGAGTCAAAATGACAATTATGGTTTGACTTGCTTGTCATTTTTCCAACTATTAACAGTCACCACATACCCCAATTTTCTACACTCAACCATTAAAATTAGAAATGAGGTTCTTAATGATACAAAAGCACAAGAGTACATACTTGGGCTATAGGAACGAGATCTTGATCGTGATCTGTACCGACTATAGTAAGGAGAAGGTGATCTTCTTCTGTAGGAAATAAGATTACTTAGCATACACATAATCCACTGAAGCAGGTGAAAATAAAAAGTTAACGTTATGCAAATAATGGACCCAAGATAACTTTCAAGTTCTTTGCATGCCAATCATATTTTTTTTTCTTTTTTTTTTTATTGTTAGTTTCAGGTGTACAGAACAATGCAATAGTTACCCTTTTCACCCTCACAAAGTAACAACCCCCCTCCCCCCA